CAGTGGGAGAGATGAAGAGGTTTGTGTATGTGAGTTCTCAGATGAGAGACGTTTGGGGTTGTTTTCTCTGTCTTGGTTAAAGTAGTGTGGCTTCAGAGTTAAATGATGTAAATGCATCCTGTTCCACAGAGAAAAATCCTTGTTCAAGCCATTCTTGGAATAATTGTGATTCTTTTTTTCTAAACATCAGTTAAAGTGAAAGGTAGTCTTGTAAAAGACACTGCTAGGAAAATGAAAATACAGGATCATGGTGTTTTTAGCTAACAGCTGCATGTTGATCAATCTGAGTTCATTGAGAATAGCAATGACAACAATGAACTTTCCAGGTTTGTCATTGCCATGCGCTGGATGTAGGGTGATTAACTGTGATACCAGAAGTTTCAGAAACAATCATATGTGTGCACTTATAAAATAGATACATAAATAGCTTTACTCAGAAAAGTGGTAAGTAGAAATGTTTGTGAACTCTGCTTTACAAATATTGACATTAACCTAAATTATATTTGCTTTGGTAGTGGTTTAATTCAAGGATCATTCCATTGACTTAATTGAAGTGACTCCAGATTTATATCACACAACTGAAATAATAACTGCTCCTAGAATCAATAGGTGGTGTTTCCTATTAATACACTGCCTTGAATATCAACCAATTGATTTACATCACAAAAACAGCAAGAAATTCAGGTTGCAACATAATTAGTCTTAAATATAAAATCATTTTAGTTACCATTTCATCTTCTTTCCTACCCCACCCACTTAATGTTTCTGATCACACTTGTGACATCATGCTTATCCAATCACTTATTTAAGAAAAACAATTGATATTTTAAACACTAAATTAATTCTACCATTGCTTTCAGAAGTCGTAGAATTAAAATATAGCATAATCTTTATTGCTGTAAAAAGACTGTCATCTCATGAGAAAGTACTGTAAATGTGCAAATCATTCTTAAAGGTTGTTAAAGTATTCTGATTAGTTTTCAACTACTTCTTGCTTTCTACCTTTATACTACATATATGTAAATTTCTGCAGCCCAGGGAATTCTTGAAACTCAGAGCCATGTGCTTAACTTAGAGAAAATACTCTTTGGTTATGTATATAATTTTTAGCCATTTCATTAAGTTCTTACAGTTAAGTATGTAGACTGATACAGCTTGTAGGCAAAGAGAAAGTGACAAGAATATTGTAAGAAGAAATTAATAACCAGGCCTGATCCTTTCTGTGCTAGAACATTATGTCTTACTGTGCTCTGATAGTATTGTTGTGGATCTTTTTGAATTATCCCTCTAAAAACCAAAGATATAATGGTAGCACATCTATCTGCTCAGCTTTTACCTAGATCAAGATGATTTAATAAAACATAGAAGGGGATAGATTTGCTTTTGTCATTCAGAACAATCTGCTAAACATTTTCAAGAACCAGAACTGTTACACAATTGCCTTTATGCATAAACAGTGTCATTCCATTAATATTCTACTGGTCTTTCACTGTTTCAGGGAATAAAGATTAAGCTCTGATTGTTACATCGTGGGAGGTTTAAACTCACTTAGTAATGTTACTTATGGGCAAAATTGGATTTCCAATTAGTTGAGCTCATTTACCCTTCGACGCATGCTTTGAAGGGCTAATGACAGTCTATATGTAACTAATGTATCCACATGACAATTGAAGTTGTAACACTTGTTCACTTTTCTCTTTGTTCAGTTTAAATATAGGATTCATATTAAGGTAGAAGAGAGCTATGTTTTAATGCTTTTCTTATATACTCCTGAAAAGCAGTGACCCTTCCTGTAAAGTCCCCATAGCTTTGTTCGTAGTGTCTTAAATGCAAAGCTTAGTGGTTATCAATGATGAACTTAATAATTTTTTCAGCTTTGGACTCACATGTGACTTCCCAAAGTCACATCTGTCTGGAAAAGACATTTGGTATACAATTATTCCAAATTTTCTTGATAGACTTCCTCCTGCAAAGTATTGAAAATCCCTTTGAAACTGTTCAGTGTTATAACCTTCAATTAAACTCAGTTCTTTGAAGAGATACCCCCAGGCAATTATGGAATCAGACCATAAAAAATGAGTTAATTGAGTGTACAAAGAATTCTAGGAAACAGTGTGAAAAACAGATGATGTATCTATAAGTAATGTATATTTCAGAATCTGTTTTGTCTAACTGACAAAGCTCCGTAAACTCAGAGTTGAAACCTTCTGAGAGCTGGTACTACTCAGACATATAAACTCAGAAACCACACACAGAGGGATATGATAGTTGAGCAATTACTAACGGTTATTACTATTAGGATGAGAATTCTATTTTCCTCCCAAATTCTCTGTGTATGGAAAAATACTAACATAATAAGCGTGCCTTAGTATGGGACTACACATTCATGCCTGCAGGTGGCGAGCAATATGTACAAGGCAAAGCACTTTCAGTCTGTCGATCTTGCTGCTGTTATCATCTCGTATCAGTGTGTTTTACTGAATTATTACTTTATTAAATATCACACAGAGTCCAAGACATTGCTGCTTATGTACTTGTTGCTATTTATTTGATTTGCAGATGAAATTCCTACAGTGGTTGGGATCTTTAGTGCATTTGGCCTTGTCTTCTCTGTCTCCCTTTTTGCTTGGATCTGCTGCCAACGTAAATCTTCCAAATCCAATAAGACCCCTCCCTATAAGTTTGTCCATGTTTTGAAGGGGGTTGATATTTACCCTGAGAATCTCAACAGTAAGAAGAAGTTTGGAGCAGATGATAAAAGTGAAGCAAAGAACAAATCAGCGATGCCAAAGAATTCTCTCCATCTTGACCTGGAGAAGAAAGATCTAAATGGCAACTTCCCCAAAACAACCCCTAAAATCCAGAGTTCTCCAGATCTTGAAAATTTGTCTCCTAAGCACTTTACAGAAAGGAAGAAAGATTCAGTGTCCCCTGATAGTTTAAAATCCATCACTTCCCTGTCATCTGAAGATAAACAAGACAAGCTAGGAACTCTCTTTTTCTCATTAGAGTACAACTTTGAGAAAAAGGCATTTGTAGTGAACATCAAAGAAGCACGTGGGCTGCCAGCAATGGATGAACAGTCAATGACTTCTGATCCCTACATCAAAATGACAATCCTGCCTGAGAAAAAGCACAAAGTGAAAACCAGAGTTCTGAGAAAAACCTTAGATCCGGCTTTCGATGAGACCTTCACATTTTACGGGATCCCCTATAGTCAAATTCAAGACTTAACACTTCACTTTATGATCTTGAGCTTTGACAGGTTTTCCAGAGATGATGTCATTGGAGAAGTCCTCATTCCCCTCGCAGGAATTGAACTGTCAGAAGGAAGGCTGCTAATGGACAGAGAGATCATCAAAAGAAATGTTAGGGTAACATATTTTTTATTTAAAATTTGAAAGTGTTGTGCTAGTGTTAGCTATGATTCTCATGTAATGCTGCTGCCATCTTGGAAAGAAAAGGGAACAAGCTCATCATGCAAGTCACTGAGATGTTTTCATAATGGCAGTATGAGGAAGCAATTACATAAATGTAATAAAACAACATTACAATGAGCATGTTGCAAGAAATTACTAATATCCTAAACTCTACTTGCTTATTCATCTGGTCCAGCAGGTTTGAGTGGACCCATTTACATTAGGTCAAGAGGCCTCAATCCACATTAATTTGCTTTAAAAGGAAAGAATGCAAAGATTTCTATATCATTCCCCTTATCCCCCCTCCCCTTTTCTGTTTGACATCTTTCTTTCTTAAAGCTTTTTGAAATCATTGCAAAACTTTCACTTCAGCCACATGGGTTTAATAGCAGATTCCTAGAGAATGAAGGTAGTCCTTAGTTAAGGAATTGGAACCTATCAGAGACCGTGTTACTGATGCAGTAGTATCTATCTTCCTGCACTTCAGTGCTGTTACTACCTTCTCTCTCAAGAACTGTGACAGAGGCTGCAGCTCCACTAAGGATAGTAAGACACAAGGTAGAGGCCAAAGGCTTACTGAAGTCAATGGCAAAACATACTGACTTCAATGGGATAAAAATAATTTATATCATGTTGTCTCATTTCAGAATGTAAAGATCTTTTACAATCATCAGTGCTGAAACACAGAAATGCACAGGCATCGCACACACGTCTCTTAATCTCTACTAAGGGAGTGGAATGTGTATTGACTTTCAATTTGATTGTTTTCAAAGAGCAAGCATACTGCCAAATCAAATAAATGTCTACTAGACAGCATACCTATAACTAATACTGTTGATTTGCAATTCTATCGCTATATTACAACAACTATAACTATGTCAGTGATGTTTTTTGGATAACTTATTTGGTTTTCTGTTTCATAAGGTATTATTTTTGCTTGTTTCCCTTGCCTTCCTCCTTTCTGTGAAACAACCTACTACTGCAAATTCAAATCTAATAATCACAGAGAAAGTCTTTGATCTCATCTTTATTTCATGTGTATTACACTACTTTAGAAAGCATCAGGGATGAGATTTCAGTAACTGTTTGAATCCTTCCTGTTTAAAAACACTTTACCGAAGGTTTTCTTTATTTACAAGGTTGTTTTTTTTTTCAATATATCTTTATGGAATTTTGTCAAGATCTTTTTTGTTCACTGAGATTTTCTTCTCAGGTTGTAGGATTTTGTTTCTAATCTCTGAAGTTAATTATGTCATGTGAACCTATATTTTCACTTATTTATTATTTGTTTTTGTTCAGTCTAATAGCCAATCACAAGAAGAGTTATATAACTACAGTAGAGGGGAAATTATATTTCCTGTGTAAAACAGCAGAGCTCGATAAGTTACAACTTTTTACACCATTTCAGAGCATACAGTTATGTGACATTTCATAAATCTTCTTAATTCTGGTTTAAAGCTTGATCAATATAATTGCTTATAAATAGTCTTATTTCTTTTTTTCTTTCATTTCCTCAGAAATCATCTGGGCGTGGAGAATTACTGATCTCTCTCTGTTATCAGTCTACAACAAACACGCTCACTGTGGTTGTTTTAAAAGCCAGGCATCTACCTAAATCTGATGTGTCAGGATTATCAGGTAATGGTTTTACTAATGAATATGCCCTAAGAATATAAAACAAACAGACAGAAGACAGCTGAAATGTGACAAAGACTAAAAATATCCCATAAATGCAGAAATGATGTCTCTATTGTTTACAGTCTATTCATTTTATTCATACATAGGTCAATGCTTTATTTTCCTGAGTATGTATTTTACAATTTTGTTCTTCAATCATGTTAAAAATCCATGACATCTGTTAGCAGTGGAAACCAGTGAGTTTTGTGATTGTCTTGAACAGAACCCATCTGCCATAAATATGAGATGTTGTTTGCAGATACTAAAAGCTTTTATTTGTGACAAAAAATCAGTTTATTTATGGAACATCAGTATTGAATGAGATCATCACATGGTTTATTTCTGCTTAGCACCAGAAAAGCAACCAGTTACAGCTATGCTGAGTTTGGCCCACTGAGGACTAACATTTATTTAGCAAGGTGAAAAGATGAACTATGCCAGTATTGGAAGCAGGCTGTAAGATCACACCTATGTAGTATCATGAGCTGTACTTGGGGTGCACTAAGAAGCAGTAGTTTCCACACCCTTCTCGTAGTCTTGAGCCATTTTGCATTCATTGGAACCACCTTTGAAGTCGATACTAGAACTGCATTTAAATGCACATTCATACTCGATAACATGACAACATAATAACAGAATAAAGTTTAATGTACAATATACTACGGATAGGACAATCACACAAAAAGAACAGTATACAACAAAGGAATATAAAACAGTAGCGCATGTGCTGTTGATTTTGTATAGGACTGATACTCATTCATTTCACAGGATTTTTTTTAGAGAAGCAGAAGAAGAAGTAGTTTTGGGAACTACTGAATCACAAATACTACAGCAAATAATACAGACTTCCTACTTTTCATACCGAGAAAAAACGCAATTTACCTAGCAAGTTAACCCACCCTGGACCCAATACAACAAGGCTATAGATAACTCCCATTTACATGGTGAAGTTCCATTGAAATCCTCCTTCTGATCTCGATTTTATTCACATATTATAAAGAGAAAAGGTGTAAGTGGAACCCAACAGTATACTCCATTGTAAGAGAGCATACGTACTTTTAGTAATCAATCCCAGAGTCACAGCAGATAGTGGAAGTTTCATGAAGACAGCATGACAGCAAGCTGATCTCAATAGACCAAGTCTGGCTGAGGTTCACCCAGCCAGAATAACTTCAAAACAAAAGTTCTCCTAGTCTTAGTAGCCACCTGGACCCTATAGCACATCCAAACTATGCATTTGTTTACTGTACCTCTTATGAGTAAAGCTATAAATTCTGTTTACTCTTTCTGCTTCCCTCAGGACAACCTTGGTAACTATAATAGGAATATAATATTTCTAAGAGACAGAAGCCAGCATGCAACACTTGGACACCTAGTTCATTTAGACAGTTCTTCATTACTTGCTGTTCATCAGCAAGGCCAGGTTCAATAGGTATTTGGGTGTCAGTGATGTACTGCACTCACTACAGTCCTTATTTCCTCTGACTTTCCCCTCAGCACAAGATAAATCTTGGAAAAGGAGAGTGAAATGGTGTTTCTATGGGGTAAGCTAAACAATTGCATAACTCAATCTCCTTAGGAAGACAGGAACTTTTTTATTCAGAATCTGTTCCATTCCCATAACCTCCTTGGATTCCTTGATCACTAGTGTTAAGGTCTCCTAATAGACCTAATAAAATCAAAAGGAACATTCTAACCTTATCTAGTAGCTGGCCAGAGGTAACATTCAGAAAATGTCCTTTAAACAGAAATGAACAATCGCATGAATCCACTGACGGATATTGATTTTGATACATTTAATGCTTCTGTGGTGTATATTACATCATATTACATTAAATCCTATTTTTAAAATGTTTATTATGGTGATAGAGTATGAAAATGAAGAGGTATTCTGTCATACCTTCCTCCTGTTAAACCACTGTCAGTTCAATGAAACAAAAAACTTTTTATTGTCCAACTATTTCAGTCTATTAACTTTGGCATAACATTTCCAAATACAGTTCAGTTTTAATTTTCCTTTTTAAAAAAGTATGTAACTATTCTTGATGTTTATTAGCTGATTGTTTATTAGCTGTCTTGTTTGTCTGGGTTCAGTAGAAAGGATTTTTTTACTACATCTTTTCTCCTTGAGAATTTGGAAAGACACGCACACTTGCACTGAAATAAATACCAAGGTACTTGAAAGGGATGATTTTTAGATTTTAGGATTCTGTAGAATTCCTGATGGAAGAAATTTAGCTGTTGTTGAAGACAATAGCAAAGGAATCTTGCAACAGTTGAAGAATTATGAGAAATGCAAACACTCAAAGTTGGCTGACAGATAGAAGTATGGACATCTTCCCCTCCCTTCTTCAACAGTAGTACAGCACAGACATGAAGCCAAGTACATACCCTAACAACAAACTTTCCCTTACATTTAAAATTTAGTATTAAAAATGTTCAATAAAAAATGGTGGGAACAATTTAATCAAGGTAATTGACTTTGGTAGAATGACAACAGAAGCGAATCACATCCGTTAATCCATTCTTGCAGCACAAGCTCTTTCTTTCCGTTCTGAGGCTTTTCTTTGCATGAGTCTTATTAATGTTAATGATTATCCCCTACTGGTAGAATGTGTGAAAAACAGTTTTCTGTTGCACATGAAGTAATGATACATATTTGTCAGAGCCCACTAGTATTTCGTGTACTTTCAGACCACCTTTGCATGTAGTAGAGATGTTATTAGGGATAATGGATGACAGATTTGATGAGACGAATGACACCCTGAACTTCACTGACTATCTTGATTATATCTTTGGTGACCATAAAGGGAGCTTAAAGGAACTAATTTAGGTGTAAACACAAAAAAGGGATCAGATGGATCGTATTTAATGACTTGAAATGTCTCCTCATTGTGATGTAATTATGTTAGTAAGTTATGAAATTTATCATTAATTAGATCAAAGAATTTCTAGAAGACAGTGTTCAATAGCTGATCTGTGCTATTTTTTTAATTGCAGATCCTTATGTCAAAGTGAACCTGTACCATGCTAAGAAGAGAATTTCCAAAAAGAAAACCCATGTGAAGAAATGCACCCCCAACGCTGTGTTCAATGAATTATTTGTCTTTGACATTCCTTGTGAGGGCCTTGATGATATCAGCATTGAATTTTTAGTTTTAGATTCAGATAGAGGGTCAAGGAATGAGGTCATTGGCCGGTTAACCTTGGGATCTTCAGCAGAAGGAACAGGCGGAGAGCACTGGAAAGAAATTTGTGAATATCCTAGGAGACAAATTGCCAAATGGCATATGTTGTGTGACGGTTAGCAGCTTAGAGAGGAGCTGGAACTTCAAAAATCATATGTTTCCATAGGCAAGGAGCAGTTTTCTTTCTTTGCTATGTATAAGTACAGGCTTGTAACTACAAGACTTTTTTTGGGGGGGTGGGGAAATAGAAAATGGATTGAATTATCAGAACAGAAGGTAACTAAATTTTCACAGTAAATAAAGGGATTTTTATTTCATTAGACTTTAATGTGATTCTATCAGATTAATATTATCCTGGAGTTTAAATAATCTAAAACTACTGAAGTACTATAAACTTCAACAAGAACAGACTATTTTTCATTAAAATGTCAGTGGAAACTTTATTAGTACTGTTATGCAGAGAAAGATAACCTCATTAAAATAAGTTGCTAGATCTAAAAAAGTCACCTGTGGCTTTTTGGGGAAAAGGCTGAGTCTGTAAAAGCCACGGGGAATCAGGGTGAGTAGGAGGAGAATTCCTTCTACTCCTCCATCAAAAACCTTCTTTTATGAAAATTCAATCATTGTTTGTAGGTTTTGGTTGTTTATACTTTGATCATCCCAAAGACCAGACAGATTTTCAGCAATTTGCTTTACATATCACATCACGTGCAACTAGTTGCTTTATGTGTGGAAATACTGTATCATTATTTACACTTGGATTTTTTAATATGTATAGGTAAAACTTGTTTTATTACAGTTACCAAAATAGATACATTCTACAAATCATTAGGCAAATTAACATACATTGTTTTGTTAAAAGGGCTCCTTTACAGGTGACTGTACATGTTACAGCATAGTTAGAATTTGGGATTAGATATGGCTTGCATTTTTTTCCTCTAGCAAGGATTACACTTTAAGCATTTCAAGCCATGGGAAAGCATTTCTATTGAGGTGAGGTGACATACAGGACATTACAGTCAATGAACTTTCACCAATTATATTTTAAGCCATTTAGTAATACTTAACGAAAAGTTCTTTTTTCTTTTGTTTCATTTAAGGACAAACAAAATAGTGAGATAGGAAATAAAACTTTATTCTTCTTTTTAACTTCCTGAACTGTGACTAATGCCATTACAATCAGTAAGACCACCCCCAACATGCAAAATTTAACGCTTTTTAAAACTTTTACAGGATAGAAAACCAAGCTCACATTATAATTCATCTAATATTATGTTAGACAGACTACTTGAAAAGTGCATTTCACTTAGATTATATGCATTAATGTCCATTACTGATTGTACTGAAAATTGGCGGCGGTAAGGGAAAAGAACATTCTGATTTCATGTTAGTGTGACATATATATGTTTAACCTTAAACTGTGCCAGGCTGGGGGATTATCAAGTGTAACATAAACAAGTATATAAATAAAGCATTTAGACCTGTGAAATCTACTCTTGGTCACACCAGAGAGATTTTTAGGCTGTCAGAACTATAGCACAACTATAAGCAGAATATTTCCTAAAGTTTGTACACTGATTTCTGATACAGAATTGTTTGCAAATATTACTCCTACATCATTTTCAATTACAATATATAAAAAGAAGAATATAATGAAGTTAGGTGTCATAAGAAGGATTTAAAAAGTGAAAAACATTTTCAATATTTTTGCATGTGTCATTTTGTCATGTGTAAACCCACGGAAGTGGAGACTATTTGGGGATTAAGGTATTACTCAATATGAGTAATAGTAACAGAATCAGCATGTCAGTAAAAAAACATGCATTGGATGTCAAGTTACTTCCAATAAACAACAGATTCAGGTCCTGTTCAAAACTGTTGGATATTTGTTGTTGACTTTACCTGTTCTTATATGGCCAAATTATATTTGCAGTAAAGGACACTGAAATATGAAATATGCAAGTAGACAAATACTACTGGAAGGATTCCGTTGAGACTCTTCCAGGTTTTGTGTTGGTATTTTCTCCAGTTTTTGAGAATGTGTTTGATATAACAGTGTTTATAAATTTCTGTAAAAATACATTTCAAAAATAACATAAACATGCTTTTTATGATAATGCTCAATGTATAAAAACTGCGTATTGTATGTATAAAGGAGAGGAATCTTTTTTGTTGATTTCTTCAGAAAGATGATTAACCACTTAAGGGCTAGAGTTTGCCAGCTACATTCAAGCAGAGCTAATCCAAAGCCGCTGAGTCAAAGGAAAGGTGCCTACGGGCTTCAGTGGGGTTTGAAGAGCAATCCCAGAGCAAAAATCTTCTTGTGAGTCAACTTAGCAATGTCAAGGTGACCATGGATAAGGGCAGATACTGTTTGATCTAACAGACACTGGGAGAGTTTAAGTCAGTACCACACAGAGTTGTTACAGTTTCTAGTAAGGAAGGAACTTTATACTAAAAGTGATTGCATGAAAGACAGTGGAACAGCTTGTAATTAAAGAATTGGAGGATTTTGTATATTGGCCCATAAATAGTACATTATCTCTGAAAATTAGATGACAGGAGTCATCTGTCTTCAACAGACACAAATTTTGACATTAGGAGAAAAAAAAACCCACCTTTTTGAATTAGTGATGAGCTGTGACCATCTTTCATTTTGCATCCAACAAGTCGTCAACAATTTTTTTTCAAGTTTCTATAGCAGCTTGAAGCTTATTATTTCTACCAGCTAAATGGCAGTTGTTGGTAGGGGTAGGGGGTAGGAATGGGAGAGGGAAGCAAAGACATTTTTATTAAATCTAAAAAACCCCTGTAAATAGAATTTTGTTTTTCATCTAAAGCAATGTTTAGCTTGGAAAGTTGAGTAAAGACGACTTGTAACACATCTGTAAACCAGACAAGGCAGGAGCAAATGTAGACCTCTACTGAGATGAGAAATTCTGCTGTTTTATAAAGTATTCAATTCTCATTGTGAATATCTTGAACTCTGTTAAGGATACTGTACTGTATTAAACATGTAAAAAACCAATGTTTGTCTAAGTAGCTAAAAAATTAATAACTCCTTGAATGGGAGATTATCCATGTCTGGAGATCTGTCGTAACTAAATACATGACTTGTTATGGTGTTGTAACTTAATAGAAGCTATTCGAGAGGAAGCATGGTGTATGAGATTTTTGTAAGTTATTTGTGCTGGTTCTGTATGTTGTGCCATGTGTGTAAGACAAGAATAAACTGCTGCTTTTGTTCATCCCATCACAAAACAATTATTCTACCAATGTATCTTTTCCAGAGATTTCTGCTGTTGTTTATATCCATGGTCTACTATCTCATGCTTCTGTAAAAAAAACATTTACCCCGCAGAGCCTTCCTTTTCTCAGAGAGGTGGATTAGACTTGTTCTGTCAAATACTACCCAGGCATATCACATGATCTTTGTTCCTAGCTTCTTGCTGCATACTTACATTTGTCTTGAATTGTACTGTAGACTTAGTTAGAGTCTCAGGCTAGAAGCTGAGATATGACCCATGATAGAAAATCTAAGCCCTACATGGGCCCTACAGGGACTGATACACGGATATAAAGAAGAATGAATTCTAGTATACTAAGTGGAAGAAGTAAAATGCAAGTCACATTATTATTGGAATCCTGGTGACACTGCATTTGTCTTCCAGAAGCAAAAAATATCCCTTGGGCAATCTCACTGTACCACTCTCACTTCCTTTTATGAAAGGAAATCATGTCAGGCATCAGCTTGTCAGATGAGTCTGGAAGTTAAGATAGAGAAAGCATTCCTTCAAATGATATGCACAAATACACACTTTGCTGCTGTGGTCTCCAAGTTTATTAGAGTATTTTACCAGCACAGAACCAAAAGCTAAGGAAGGACAAAGGCAGTTGCAGCTGAGATACAAATTGCCATTTAATGGCTCCCACTGTCAGCCTACAACCAATTACCTGGAAGGGATCCTTGATCCTTGTCTCAGAAATCAATGACAGGTTCCACTACCCAAATGCATGAAATGGAACATCTGCCATGGGTATAAGCTGGTATATTCTCTCTGGCAAATCTCCTGTCCCCAGGAGGCAGGTATCAAGTGTGAGACTGCTTTTTTCCATCCTATACAGCCACTTCTTTTTTCTTCCTTGCATCATATGGTTCTCCTCAAACAACAGTGATTCACATGGGTCACATTTCAGATCCTCTTCTTCAGGACAGAGATCAAGAATGTCTTTAGAGTTTCCAACTATAATACAGCTGAACCTCAGGGGAAGTCTCAAGGCTACTGGCCCGATTGCTATTTGTATCTCAAATTGCTGCAACAGGCAAGTCCTCTTCAAGAGAGCCCTTGCAGATGTCCTCCTCTTTGTAGGAGATGTGATTCCTGAGGTGCAACACTGTTCTGTAAGCCCCTTGTATTTATACAGCATCATGGATAGCAACATAGCACACACAGTAATAATAAATAACCACAGATGACCATGAACAACACTTCTTTTCCTCAAACAAGTTTCAAATATACTCTATGTAAGCTGCTGCCTTCTTATCTATGCTCTCTGCTTCAGGAAGTCTCACAAAGCTGCTAAACAACTGGCACTGGCACTTATTTTCTTTGGTCTGCTGATGACCACTGAGCAATTACCTTCATTCAAGAAGTTCTACCCAGTTCTCACAGGCTTTTACATAGTATCCTTTACCTTCCATCACTAAACAGCTGTTGTAACATGACTTTAGGACTGGAGGCAGCTTTGGAGCACTGATTACAGTTGCAGCATGGCAGAACTGTCTAGTTCAGAATAAAGAACCAAAGTCAGTAAGATGAGAAATGGGAGAAGTTAAAATCTTTACTATGTTGTTATGTCTGTATTGTTATGATAGTTCTGCTATTGTGCATCTGAAGTACTTTGTGTATAACCAGAGAATGTCCTGCAGTCACAGATATGAATGGTCTGATCACACCACCAGCAACACAACCAGATGTTGTTCTGACAGATGAGCTGACTTCTGCTTGAGTCCTTCAGCCTCAGTAGCAGAAGTAAGGAGACACCAGCTAGGCCCTCGTGCCTTACCACTGCCTCCTGGGCTCTGCAGTCACTCTTGACATGCTCTGGATTACTCTTGGCAGCACTGTTGGTGCCTAGATGGAAAAGTTGTAATAGTCTGAGGGCTGGACAAGCCTTGGCAACATCCTGGGTCCTGGCCTCATGGTCAGCACCAGACTTCCCAAGATATCATCAAGATAGGTCAGCAGATTGGGTCTCCATCCCCAGGTGGAGGGTGTCTCCAGTAACTATCATATTCCTTTTCTCCCCTGTGAAGACACAAGGTTTGAACTCAGCTGGCTCTGATAAACCCCTCTTTGTTCTTCCCAGTGACCAGGTCAAAGTACTTGTTCTGAAGTTGCAGGTGGGGCCACCTGCTGTTGTGGCTGTTGCCAGAAGTCACAAGTTTCCAGCTTTCCCTGATGTAAAATCCACCTTCCAAC